TCAGGGGACCTGGTTCGGTCCTATGCTGGTTCCCCAGATCTCAGACTGGGGTCCTTGAGCTCCTACTTGCTCAGGTCCGCTGTTTCTGTGGGTTTCTCCAGCATGTTCTTGGCCCCTTTGCTCATCACTCCTCCCTCTCTGCAACTGGACTCCAGGAGTTTAGCTCAGTGTTCAGCTGCGGATCTCTACTTCTGCTTCCATCAGCTACTGGATGAAGGCTCTAGCATGGCATTTAATGTAATCATCAATCTCATTATAGGGGAAGAACATTTAAGGTAGCCTCTCCACTATTGCTTAGATTTTTAGTTGGGGTCATCCTTATGGATTCCTAGACAGTTTCTTAGTGCAAGATTTCTCTTTAGACCTATAATGGCTCCCTCTATTAAGGAATCTCTTTTCTTTCTCTCTCCTTCAGAGTTCTTTCCTCCATTTTGATATTTACTTAGATGAAGAGTTGGATAATTTTAACAGGTCCATTCTAATACATCCAATTAAAGCTATACTAAAACACTTTCTAATCAATATTAGGTTCAGACCAGAAATAGCAATGTGTGTTCTATTCTTTCAATTGCACATGGAGTCAATGTCCCCTCTGTACTCCTACCGGGAAGATGCCTACTGGGAATCTTCTTGACTACTGATAACCTACAACCATAGCCAGTCACTTAGCTTTTCTTTTCACCAGCTTCTCTTTGTCTTCTCTTTTTGCATTCTGGCTTCTTGGTAATAGTATCATATATTTTCCACTGATTTATATTATCCCAAAAATCTTTTTTTACTGTCCTTGACCAGTCTATTTTACATGTTTTATCTTTAATTCTTACTCAGAGTTGGGTAAGAAAGTCCTGGCCTTCAAGACTGTCTTTATGTGTGTCAACCACCTTAACTTCATTTGTCCAATTAGATCTATGTGAGGAGATGAGATAAATTAAAAACTTTTGATCAGTGTCTTTATCTTCATTTTCCAATATTATCATTTCACCTAGTATATGATACAAATAAATCTAGGGGACTTCTTTTAGAGTGGTAGCTTCTAAAATTCATCCTATATCCAGTCTCCCAGATGTGCCAGGAAATCACTCACAGGAATCCTACCTGTTTTTATTATTACCTTTTAGTTTCTTCATAACCATGTGTGAAGTTTTAAATAGTCAAGAGAGACTTTCTTCCCACTAGTGAACTCAGCATGATCTTTGCAAGAATAAATGTGCTCATGAATCTACACATCCTTCCACTTTCTGTAAAGGAAGGCTTCCCCTACCCATGGTCATTCTACAGAGTTTAGATGAGAGGGTGTGACTTGATCACTATGGCTAGACATTCATGAATAAGAATGCTACAAGTTGGAATTCAGCATTTCTACCAAACATTCTGATGATGATGTGGCTGGCCTAGGTTTCCTACTGCACTTAATTTGTACAAGACCATTCCCCTTCACAGTAGTGAGAAATAATTTCTCTTCTCAGAGTGAATTAACAGCACTACAGACTTCTCCAGCTAGACAAATGGACACTGATCACCCAGTAATTCCTGAAGAAGAACACTGCATGCAGGAATTCAGCATTTCTGCCAAACTTTCTTATGCTGCATCATCTGAAAGTCTATCGTTAGCTCCTACATTGATTGTCCTGTAGATTCATGAAAGGATGGACCACACAGAGCTACATTAACTCTACAGATAATTACACTGCAACTATTTTGCCCTATTTGGTAGCTCCTGACAATGTATAACTACCAAATACTAGAAATATAGTTTGAATTTATAGATGAATAAATGCACAGTACACACCAGACTTAGTATTAGAAAGGTGAATTTTTTCAATTTATATGTTGTACAAATGATGAAATATTGAGTTGGATATACTGAATTCAAATTTCTTAATTAAGATTAACTGCCTACATCCTTCAAATTGCTCACATATATAAATAAATTTATTATTATAATATAGCTCATATATTTTATTGGGTATGATTATCCATAAATATTAGTTTTGAGTGTCACCCACCAGGAATTATAGATGTAATCAATACTAAACAAAATATTCTTTCAAGTTTTCACCTTGAGCCAGGTCAGAAAACCAACTGTTTCCCATGCTGCTGTCCTTACTACTAGTTGGTTCCAATTGCTTGAGGATGGTTAGTTAAGAAAGAAGTCACTGGAGCTTGAGGCACATCCTCTACAATTTTTATCTCATTGCTCTTCCACAGAATACTTCCCTAGGGAATAAATCTGTGCCATCCATATTTCTGTAATAAGACTCAGGCCCAATAATTTTCTGAACATCCTTTGCTTCCTTAAATGCAGAGCCAATCAGCATCGGATTCTCATCAGAGGCTACCTGACCAAAAACGTCTAGGCATATTGAGGTGGAACTATTCTAAAATGTGTCTTCTGTGTCCACTTGCTGAAATTTGGGTTGAAATGTTGTTCACACCCTCTAAGCAACAACAACAACCTTTCAATTGAGTATAGCCCCATTGTCATCTTACAGAAGTCTGAACCATTTCTCTAGAGGACAGCTTCTTTGCTTCCTCATTCACACAGATGCAAGCACAAAAGACAAGGGGTATGTGATTTCCTTTACACACATAAGTCATAGAGTTTATTTTAACCCATTTTTATACTGCCAATCACACTGGCTAAAGATGTACAGACCTACGTACAGCCCTCTTGATGCTTCTGTCCTCCTTCAGTTCCTCACAGTGAATGAGACTGACTCCATTCCCCATTTAGCTTGATTCTGCATTTTCAAGAAAATGATACCTTAGAAACCAGGGGTATTTCTCAGAGTGTCATAACAGCTCAGGACTGATGTCATTCCACTAGCCAGGTATATAAAAAGACACAACAGAAAAAAACTTGGTTGTTCATTCATTATGTTTAATTTTCAATAAAAATACCTTTACTTGAGAGGAGTAGCTGTGGTCTAAAATATTTCAAAATAAATAGTCCAGAATGAATGGGAAGAAAGGTAGTCAATGAAATGTTTTGTTAGACATATATTGTAAAATCATGAAATCTCAGTATTTTAATAATTAACTCTTCAATTCAGCTAATGTGACAGCATATGTGAATGCTCATGGAGAAGCTGCCTTGTCCTTTTAATGATGTATTTTAAACATGTGCATGGACAGAATTTAAATACTATATTGCATTTCAGCATTAAATGACCTGTACACATAATTTAAATTACTGAGGTAACTTATGTTGCCATTCAGGTATGCAAGCACAGCATAATTTATTAATATTAAAAACAATAATATACCTTTTTATATAATATCAATTGAATTCATATGTACTTTTTTAAAGACAGACAATTTCAAAGCATGCATTACATTTGCCATAAAATGTTTTTTTGGAAGTCAAAACATGGCCACATAATTAAGCACATTTACTAGAATCCTGAAAAAAAGAAAACTGTTTTCATTTTCTTTTTTACAAGATTGCAACAATAGTCACAGCTAACTTGGATGGAAGCTTTATTTCAAGGTGATTTTAACTGTCATATTTTAATTGCTTTCACCAAAGTCCAATTGCTTAATGAGTCTTACAGTTGAAATGTTTCCAGTAATTATATGCTTTTGTCTTTTAGGTGGATTGCCTCACCTTCATTATTCTAGAAAACTACTTCATATATTACTGAATCAACCTTGTTCATTTTCTCACTTTTATAATCCATAATTATTTCTATTTTTCACTTTCATATTTTATAACAGTTTATTGAGCAGCTACATTCATACACCTAATGCAGTTTTCAAATTGAGCCAAATAATTATTTTATCTCTTAAACTAATATAAAAGAGAAATATCATAGCAGCTTTATACCTATAAAAATATTAATTAGTACCTTTAAACTAGAAGTTTTACTAGGGAAAAAATATGAGACTTGTTATCAGTACACATTGATTCTCACATTCTAAAGTATTCATTGATTTTATTATATATTAGTTACTAGCATATTTTATCACAAGGATGTTATATTTATTAATTTCCACTAAACTTTATAGAGGTTTTAATTTAACATTTTATGTGTATGTATGTTTGTGGAAGTTTGTTTGTACCATGTGCTTGCAGTGTATATGGAAGCCAGGAGAGGGCAGCAAACCCCCTACGCCAGAGTGAAATGCATTTAGTGAGCCACTGTGTGGGTGCTGGGATCCAAACTCAGATCTATAAGAGCAGGAAGTGCTCCTAGCCATTGAGCTATTTGCCCAGCCCCAAATTTAGTGTTTATGTATGTAACCATATGGGAATTTTAATTTGCCATATCTATAAGTTAATGGTATAATTTCAAACCTTATTTATAAATTTTAACTTTATGATCTTAGCCAAAGGAGCAAGAAGTGATAATAAGTTCACTGTTTTAATATGAAGTAAAGCTTTCAAATTCTAGTCATAATTCACCAAACTACAGTATCTGTGATGTAGCCTTACACATATTAGAGCATGTTATTTTCTTGTAGCTATAGAAAACAGAATATTATAAAATAAAGAACCAACACAAAAGGTAACAAGAAGCAAGAAGCATTTTCTCCTAGACTGTATTTTCCAAGGAAGTAACTAGAGTTGTAATAAATAAGTATTAAAATGTCTCCGTGAGAACGAAAATTTCAGTCAATAATTCTGCTATTTAAAATACCTTTTATTGGGTATTTTTACATTTAAACTCTCAACCAAAAAATTCTAAGATACACATATTTATAATAAATTCTCTTTAGCTTTTTATCTTACTCTAGATACTTTGTGACATGCAAACACCACAGAATTTTTATCTCTCCATTAAAACTTCATTTGCGAGCGTCATATTAATGAGCATACCTCTATGAGGTAGCAAAACACGGAAAACCTCAAATCAACTCATTTTCATGTCTTCATGTGCTTCAGCTATTTGTTCTTCATATTAAAGCAAACATACGTCATAATAACGGTTAAGCTGTGGTTCTGAAATTGCAAGCCCTGTTTCCTTACTAAAACATCCCCTGGTATTTTCTACAAACAGGAAGATGAGGTGAGGGAGAGTCGGTTCAGCTTCACAGCTTATGGAATGGGGCCGTGTCTGCAAGCAAAAGATGGTGTGCTTCCAAAAGGCCCCAACCACGCTCTCCAGGTAATGCCAAAGAGCCCGGATGAAATGAGGAAAGTGTTCATCGACAGGGCCAAGAAGATTGACACCATCTCCCGAGCCTGCTTTCCATTGGCGTTTCTGATTTTTAACATTTTCTACTGGGTTATCTATAAAATTCTTAGGCATGAAGACATCCATCAGCAGCAAGATTAAGTCTCTGAAGGCATACAGAAACACTGCAGTGTCACTGACATCAGACTGGGTGTGTGTGCATGTGGTATGCAAGGTATGATCAATGCATTAGGACAGCATACGGGGAAAGTTTATTTTGATTTTCCATGTAAAATAATGAGACAGATCGGTTCTTTTGAGGGATACAAAACACGCAATGTGGGTTCCTGTTTCATATTACTTATTACAAGATGATCCGTTTTCTTCATGTCAATATGTGTTGTATAATATTATACTAGCACATACAGTAGACATAATAACTAGTTTCAGATTTCTTGACTTTTAATTCAGTTATAGCAAATAATGTGGAATCAAGATTTGCACAGTAAAATTCATGAGACAAATATAACAAAATGATGAAGATAATAAAAAATAATAGTTTGAGATATATACTGTATTTTAAAAGGAAATAACAATGTCATTCAGTGGCAAGTTCACTCCAGTTAGAACACTATCCATAGGAAAATTGTAGAACCAACATATACAATAACACAATATTAAATTAGATGGTCAATATTAAAGCCATCATTTAGAATACTAAATATCTATGGAAATTTGAAATATAAAATTACATATTATATTATATAAAAATTCTACTTACCTTTCTATTTCTAAGAATGAAGGTAAAGATATTTAGGACAGACTTAGTTTGTAAATAAGTGTTATGTTAATTTTTAATTAGTGCCAAACAATGAAAAATTTTCAGCCAGCACATTTGCTTTTGTTAATTTAATAGTAGCTTGTCTCTATGTTTGTTTTTATTTAATTAAACAAAATTCAATAAGATTTTTCTATTTAGTTTAGAATGAGACTTTCAATATTAATTATACTAAAGTACTCATGTTTTGATATAAACAAATTCAAGGAAAAATAAAAATAGATTCACAAAAGATGACTTATTTTTAATGAGAATCATTTTCTCATCAAATTTACATGTGTCTCAAATAGCTCCAAACAGCAAGGTTTTAATTCTAAATGACTTAAACATATCAATTGTATCAAAGGAGATTGTTTTAATCTTTATGAGTTAATGCATTCAAAATGTAGCCATTCACAAGTGGTGGAGAACATTATAGTTTTGCCTAGAATTCATCCTTGACCCATGCAATTATTTCAGCTACAATGGAATTGTCTTAGTTCAGCCTTACAGCAGCTGCTAAGAGAAAGTGTATAATAGAATTTTAGTAAAATTGAACCAAGCTCTGATTTATTTGCTCTTTTTCTTAATTATTAATGCCACTAATATTATATTTGAAAAGCTATTAGAGTGATTTTAGATATTTTAATTATTGATTAGTCTATAAATTATATAAACTTAAGAAACTTAAAAAACTCAAGAACTTAAAAAAATCTCGGATATATTGTTGAAAAATCAACTTTTTAAATTAAATGGTACTATTTTATGACCTTCTATCACTGTCAAAACTCAAAGCAGAAACTGCCACTTAAAACTAAAGACTTTTCAGTGTTCCTGTAGTTTGGTTATCCCAACCATAGATTTTAAAACTAACTTTTTAAAAAGTAATCCATGCTAAGTGGTGTTTGGTAATAAAAGGCAAAATATCACTTTTATAAGTAATTATACAAGATAAGAACATTGTGTTTGTGATTATATGCAGCCAACAAGTGAAATAATCTATTACTGTGTGCTTCCTTTGCTTAAAAATACACACCTAAATGTTGGGTATATATGTCATCCTTTGCTGTCTATGAGCCAAAAGCGTGGAAATATATTCATGTATTAAATATTAGAGCAAGATATGTGTTTACACTGAGAATTAGCCAGAGGGTTTGAAGTAATTGTGAACTACACCCCTTCAATGTTGGCAAAAATGCTTGTATACATTTTTCCATACTTTGTATATCTTATTTCAAAAGTTATCTACATTACTTAGATTGAGTAAATCCTGCCAGAAGCAAACACAAATATAATGATCACAAACACACATATGCCCCAAAGAAAACCACAGGTGTAAGTAGCTTTCATGTTTGAGGTTATTAAATGTCTGGATTTCTTATCTCTGAAGCTGGAAGGTAATATATCAGGCATGAGAAAATTTGTCAATAATGGTATTAGTTCTATAGAAGTACTGCTATCTCAAAAGTACATTTTTCTTTATCTCTCCTTATAAATAATTCTGCGTTCTATTATACTTACCCTGTTCTCCAACACAAACAGTACAAATAGCCTTCATTTATGAGCAACTGTTACAAGGCAAACAGAGCTGAATCAAACGGACTTAAGGAATGTGGACTCTCTAATGAGCTAACGGGATATATCAGAACCTTCAAAACTTGAATAATAACAATATCTTGATGTATTTGCCTCAAAACACCCATATCAAATGAGATTTTGTTTCTTACTACAGAGAATTGGAACCAGGGTTTGTTACACATTAGAGAAAAGATAACTAAGCTACAACCCGGAGTCCAAAGCCAGAATTTTCTTTTTCCATTTACTTTTTTTTTTAATTTAAGTTAGAAACAAGATTGTTTCACATGTCAATCCCCTTTCCCTCTCCCTCCCCTCCTCCTCTGTCGCCCCCACTAACACTCTACCTATCCAATACCATTTCTGTTCCCCAGGGAGAGTGAGGCCTTCCATGGGGGGGGCGGTTGTTCAGAGTCTGTCATATCCTTTGGGATATGGCCTAGGCCCTCCCCCGTGTGTCTAGACTGAGGGAGTATCCCTCTCTGTGAAATGGGATCCCAAAGTCTATTCCTATGCTAGGGATAAGTACTGATCTACTACAAGAGGCCCCATATATTTCTGAGGCCTCCTCACTGACATCCACATTTATGGGGTCTAGATCAGAATTTTTTAAAGGAAAATTTAAAAAAAAATGGTAAGAAATAATTAAATAAGCATATACACCAACTACCAATCACTTAAGACTAAATTAAATACAAATTCTAAATAATTCTGAATTATCCATTCTAGAAACTACAGGAAGGGTTTCATAATTTTATTTCACTTAATTTTAAAATTTATGCATTTATCTAGAAATATTTGGTTCCACAGTACATGCAGTTTTAGGTGTCTGTTTTCTTGTTAGTATAGATGTGTACAAGTTTCTCTTCCTTTCCTGTCGGGCCCAGCCTCAGCTTGGGCTCAGTTCCTGAGATGGTGAAGGGGCATCAGCACAGGAAGAATTCTGACCACCAGTTGGATTGCACTTATGTGGTTGTGAATAGCTCAAGCTGTCTATTTGTACTTAGAGATTTTCTTACCAAAGTTACATGAACAGCTTTACTATTGACTCCTAATTTGACTTTAAGAAATACACCATATTTTAAGAAATACATCATAATCATTATAAAAGCCCCATTGTTCTCCTTTATGCTTCCTCAAATACATTTTCCACCCCCTACATAACTTTATTCTAGACATAGAATTCAGCATTTTTGCAGGCTTAACTAAATATCAAGCCAGACATATCCTGCTCTGGCAGCACTTATGTCAGGTGGCATCTACTTGCAGTTACAAAGTTTAAAAGTAACAGACATGGGTCATTGCTTCAAGGACAAGAATATTCAAACCCAAATAATTATTTTATGTCTGCGAGATAGGTTTTTATACAGCTTCCCTTTCTACAAGAGGGTCCCATGCCTCAATCTCTATTGAAGGCAGACTTTGATATGGTACTTTTCTCATACCACCATACCATACTTCTTCCACCAATATAAGCTCCTGTGTATGGTAAACATGGATCTATCCATTCCATATTTTGCATTGTAATTTTCCTTTTGGAAAATACCAGATGCTATCATTGATTCAATAGGCTTGATGTCCAGAGAACTTACTCTCGACAGTTGGCACTATGTGTATTACTGAGGCCTTCTCCCTATTTTGCATATGTATGCCTTACTCTCCTTTCCATAACTGTGTAACATGGTTAATGTTCCAAGTATTATTTTTTCATATGTACCTATTACCTCTTGCCACAACAGTTCTATGAGTCTCCTTCTCCACAAGGTGGTTCTACCTTTTCCTTAGAACAATTATTCAAACAAGACACATTAATTTTAACTGCATCTATTGAGTCAATGAAGTTCTGAGTGTTACGATAAATCTTTCTGTCAAAAGCTGCCCAAGACCTACAGCCATGTGTGCACTTTACACCAGCCGCCCGCCTGAGTTAGGGCCCAAATGAATACACAGAAACTTGTATTAGGTTCAAATGCTGCTTTGCCAATGACTAGGATTTCTCATGTGTTAGCTCAGTCTTAACTATCATAAATGTATATATTTTATAAGACTTATCTTATAGGATGCCTTATTGGCATCCCTCCTTGCCGGTGGCTCACCTCCCGCCTCTCGAGGAGGAAGGGGAAAAGGCACTTCCTGTTTCCTTTGCTTAAATATGAGTCTCCTTGCTATGTCACTTCCTGCCTGGATCACCACTTCTCTACTACATTTCCCAGAATCCTTTTTGACTCCTAGTCCTGTCTAACTTGCTGTCTCATTGGCCAAACAGTATTTTATTAAATAATCAACAAGATAAACATACAAAGAAGTACATTCCCCATCATCCGAGGATTAGGAGTATCCCAGATAAAAGATTTGGAAGGCATTAAGGCCCCTGCTGATTCTAAGGAAAACAAAATATTAAAAAAAAAAAACTACAGAATTTCAAGGGAAATTAAAATTGTTGTATGCATGACTAACAAAGTAAAACTAAAAAGCACCAAAGGAATCAATAATATAATACGAGAAAAAAGAGCCTGCAAGCTGCATAATTTCAACAAAGTCCTGTGCTGCTCTGTGGACCACTGGTTGTTGCTGGGTGAGAGACCATCTCAATGATCTTGCCTCTATGGAGATGCATTGGATAGGCATTCATAAGCTGATAGAGACTGGGCTGCATGGCTGCTGACACTTTCCCTATCACTACAAGATCTAGACCCTTCTTTATGACTTATAATAAATATCAGAACCACTATAGAAATGGGAAAGAAATGCTTCAAACCACCCCCATTCTCTCTGGCAGTTTTCCCATAACATGTACCCAAAAACCTAATCCAGCTCTCAACTCTGCTACATAGAGAGAGTATCATGAATGCTTACCTTATTCCACAATAAATGTTTATCATATGGATATAGTATAAATAATTTAATTTAAATTTTTTGAATTATAAATGTATGAGAATCCATATATACCCATTACATGAGCATATGCATTGATTTTAAG